GTTATTGACAAAATTAAAATGTATAGAAATATATAATTAATTTTTGAAATTAGAAAGACTAATCAACTCTTTTCTCGAGAGGGACTAATTCATAATTTACTCATCATATACTTCTACAGAATTTGATATTTTGATGATTAGATCGATCAAGGAGCCCAGACTGGTGAGATACAAGGCCTGGTGAAGCAATTTACATTCATTGGGCCTTGTGCGCTTTGTCTAGTAGCCCACTTTCAGTTTTTATTAGTTGATCCAGAATCCAAAACCAAAACCATTTGGAATTCAGTTTTTTTTTTTTTATTTTTTTTATTTTTTTTTATTCTTTGGAATTCAGACTCCACACTGAAATATATATATATATATATATATATATATATATATTATTTAATAATCAAATAAATTAAAATTATCATGACTTAAAATTATGATACTGCAAAAAAGTCCATTTTGGATCTTTACTGGTTTGTCCAAGTTAGCATCCTTAATTTTTTTTTTTTTTTTTTTAAATAGTCGTTATGTGATATCTGTATGATTTTTCATCAATATATAACATTTTCCTTGAGTCTCCAAATCTTTGTGCCCCTCATAATTTATTTCAAAATACTACTACATTAGTTAAAACAAGGCTAAATGAGTCAAATTTTTCTTGGATTTTAACTCATTTGAAATTAAGTTATTGAACTTCAAATTTAATTTTACTTAACTTCTTCAATCTCAGAACTTTTAATTTTTTAAAATTTAATCCATTTTTTGGTTTTCTATTATTTATTCTAAAAAATAACAATAATATAATAGCTCCATTATGGAAATTATTAGTGAGATACATAAGGATTAATTCACCAAATTTAAAATTCATGGATACAAATGAATAATTGATGCAAACACAAGGATAAATTTAGGGATTTTGCTTATTTAAATGGCATTTCTCAAAAAAAAAGGAGGACATCTAGGGGGAAAAACCTTGAGAGAGTTATTGATATTTTTGCATGAAATGGCCTTAACTAGTACCAAATACATAATTAATATAGTTGGAAAAATAAACTGAACTTTTATCAGTGTAACAAGTAATGGTCTCTGATTTGATGCAATCAATAATGGATTAGGGTGCATTCAATTTATGTTTGAATTTTCAAAGTGTTGTCTGTCCAATGCAGGTAGGTGAGGAATTTCAGAATGGTTAGAAAATATGATCCCAGAGTTTAAGATGGCAGACATTTTCAATTAGATTTTAGTTGACTCTGATGCATTTTATTAATAATAATAATAATAATTTTTTTTTAAGAATTGTTTTTTGTAACTTTTAGTTCTATTTATTAAGTGTTTTACATGCGCTATGTTGCAGATCGGACAAATTATATAAATTTATTTTTTAAAAATTATTTCATTTTGACATCTTATGTTATATTATGTATCTAATAAAATATATCAAATTACAACTGAATAAAAATTCATTCAATTTTATTATTTTTTAATCAAAATTTTGTATTTGACTAATTATTATTTATATTTTCATAAATTTTTTATTAGAAAAACATTATTTATTTACCTCTATGCATATTTTTAGCTAAAACCTTATTTTGTAAATTGATTTTTTTAAACTTTTTTTTTTGCCTTAAAAATGTTTAGTTAAAAAAATAAAATAAAATAAAAAGCAAGGAACAAAGTGACCAAAATCAAACAAAAAAGTGAGACCAAAATCAAATAAAAAATATTTACAGACTAAAAATAATATTTTAAAAAAATCAAAGTGTAATATTACAAAAACTCTCACAACAAATATCTTTAAAATGTTTGAAAATTACAAAAATATCATTGCATAGTAAAAGGAATAATACATCTGAATGTGAGTGAACATTATTTTAAATAATATAATGAATAGTAATCGATGATTTTAGTTTAGTTTAGTTTTTTTTTTTTTTTTCCCTTAATATGTTTGGTAAATCAAGCATACAAAGATTGTTGATCTTCTGCCAAGAACTCAAATAAAGGAATATAGGCTTTCAGGAGGCCCAGCCCAGCTCTGTATTTCGGCCGAGGGTCTAACAGAAAGCCTGCGATATATGTCTTCTTTAAGGCATATAAAAATATAGGCCTTCTGGAGGCGACGCGTAGTTAGCCATTCTAGCCCACGAATGTCCAGCCCATGCATGAGTTAGCCTAGTTCTCCAAGCCCAAAATACAAGCTAGCAGATGCAGGCCCAATTTTATATTTCAAATTATATTACTCTTGTTATCTTAAACAACTTACATAAAATAGGCCAAGATTTGGAAACTTTTGAACCTAACCAACTGGGAGCCAATGCACAACTCAAAGCAGGCCATTACAGAATTCCAGCTCAAAGTGCAAAACTACGGCAGGAAGCAAACAATAAACAGAGATTTTCCTGCTCTTTCAAGCTTTTAACTTTGATTTAAATTTTGCTGAATGGTTTATTATTCTGTTTGTTGCCAATATGTTAGACCAAATCTTGGTAAATTTATTTCAGGTTCATTTTCTTTTCCCCCTGATGGAAGCACAGGAATGCTTTGTTCATCCCTGAAGAAATTGGAAGGATCTGTTGCAGTTTTAACCTGCACTAGTCTCTTGAAGTTATTCTTGAAATACTTCAGGCCCCAAACACTTGCCTTTGCAACGCTGGTATTTCCATAATTATTCCTTCCCAAATCAAGATCTCTATAGTTGAGATAGGCAGCTCTTGGTGATTTCGAAACATAAGGGGCCATGTAGGCATAGAGACTTCTGATCCATCCTAGATGCTCTCGTGTTTCCTCTTCCACATCCCAAGTTATAATGTACTGGATTTGGAAAATATTCCCACGTCGATGCGGGAAAGGTATCTCCGAGTCCGAAATCTCACTCATTCTCCCTCCGAAAGGTGACAAGATCAACGTTGATGCCTCCTCTACAAGGAGCCTTCTGTACAGCCCTTTCAAGCCAGTTGCTGAAATCGGTTTCGTCACGTAATCCGATTTTCCTTTGAAGAATTCCTGCGATTGAGTAGTCCGGTTAAGTAGAACATCTAAGGAGTCACTTGTTGAATAGCCACCAAAATAGAGGACAGATTGGATCCAACTCATTTCACTGCAGTTTTCGCGCATTAAGCCCAGCTCAGGAAAGCTATCTTGCATCATAGGGAGAAGTTCCTCCGTCCTTCCGAGGAACAATGACTCGAACGAAACTTGAATGGTTCTACTGCCATTGGGGCTAGAGGTAGCAACTCCTATAACAGCATGGAGGAAAAGGTCTTCGTGAAGCTTATCTCCGATGTTTTGCCACTTCTGAAAAAGATTGCTTGCACCTTGCTCTAAGGTCTTTTGGATATTGAAAACAGTTACAATTGGAGGAACTGGAACCAATCTAACTTTCCATAAGAAAATGACTCCGAAGCTGGCTCCTCCCCCTCCTCGAATGGCCCAAAAAAGATCTTCTCCCATTGATTCGCTGTCCAGAATTCTTCCATTAGAATCAACTATCTTAGCATCAATAACATTATCAGCTGCTAAACCAAACTTTCTGAATATGGTACCAAATCCTCCTCCACTAAAGTGTCCCCCAACTCCCACCGTAGGACAACTACCTGCAGGGAAGCCATGGACCTTGCTTTTCTCTGCAATTCTGTAATATAACTCTCCTATACTCGCACCGGCCCCGACCCATGCCGTCTCAGTTTCAATGTCAACACTGATGGAACTAAGTTTAGCAAGATCAATAAGCACAAATTCCTGATAAGACACGAAAGATAGGCCCTCGTAGTCGTGACCTCCACTTCGAACTCTTATTTGCAAATCAGATTTCTTGGCACAAACAATGGCTGCTTGAATGTGAGACTCATTAAACGGGGTGACTATAAATTGAGGTTTCGGAACCGAATTGTTCAAGAATCTGAAATTTCGAATGGCTGACTGCAGAACGGATGAGTAAGCAGAGCCATTCTTAGTGAGGATAACTTCTGAAATTTGATTGGAATGATGAATATGAGAGGAAAAGCATTGCAAGAACATATCATCAGCTGAACTTGAACTTGCAGACCAAACTGATGAAGCTAAAACTATTAGCAGTAAAATATGCAGACTAAGGTTTGATCTTTCCATTTTTTTTTAATTTCCCTTCAGCTTGTGAAGTAACACAAGGTAATCAAGCTACATATTTATAGCCACTGCACAATTAATGTTTATCCAAATTTCTTATGCAAAGGATGGAAACTCCAAAGTCCAAAATGAAGAACATTCAATTGTTTTTTTAGTTTTTACTTCTTTGTAGTATGATCAAAATTTATTAAAACCAATTTTATATGGATTGCGTATACACACAACACATTAAACACCATAACCATACTTTTCAAATGAAGTTTTTTTCCTCGTATTGTGATGTAATAACACAAGGTAATCAAGTTACGTATTTCCACAATTAATGTAGATCCAAATTTCTTATGCAAAGAATGGAAACTTCAAAGCCAAAAATGGAGAATATTCATTCGTATATTAAACTTTCTATTCGTTAGTCCAACTTTATTTTTTATTTTTTTGATCATTTTCTTATCTTTTGATTTTGTGCTTAGAATTTGAAAAACTAATAATTGTTTTTTTTTTTAGTTTTTACTTCTTCTTTATAAAATCAATTTTATACGGATTGCGTATGTACATAAAATAATTTTCGCAATTTCTTACGCAAAGAATGGAAACTTCGAAGTCCAAAATCATTTTCTATGGACTCGCCAACTTTGGAGTAATGGATGTCAAATATTTCAACTCAAAATTTCTATTTAATTGCATGCTTGATTTGCCAAACATATGCAGATTTGAAAAAGTCTGTTTAAATGAACCAAATTTTAGGCCATTTCGGTATGTGCATTAATTCAACAACTGCCATTATTCATTTTACAAGAAAGATCAATCTAATTTTTCTAAGATCTCTTCAAATTATGGCCCCTAGTTCGGATACCATAGGTTAACAATTTTTTGTACTTTCCTTTTAGGTTGAGAATTGTTTTAAGTATCTTCTAGGCTTTCAGGAGGCCTAGCCCAGCTCTGTGTTTTGGCCGAGGGTCTAAAAGAAAGCCTGCGATATAGGCCTTCTTTAAGGCACATAAAAATAGGCCCAAATTTTCACAAGGACTTGGAAACTTTAAGAAGAAAATCTCAAATACATGGAGTGTGAAATGTTGACTTACTAGTCACCTAACCTGTTTTTACTGTTTATTTACTATTCACTGACATTCAAAAGTTAGTATTCACTTAATATTATTGTATTTAATTGCTATATTTGTTTTTATTTAATCATTTGATATGACATTTATTTATTTATTTTCACGGTATCTAATTATTTGTAAAATATTTATTTCAATTTCTAACTTTATTTATATCACAATTTAGTCTCTATATGTAAAGAAAAACAAAGAGAGAAGGAAACATAAAAAACCCATTGTAAGTTCCATTTTTGCTATTTCAACGATCGATCTTGGTTTCGATTTATTCATATTAGAAAAGAAAATTTGTTTATTGTGATTTCAATACATGAAATGATACGAGGAAAGAGAACGGTACCTCAAAATACTTTTGAATTTAACTTGAGTTTTTGAATTTTTTTAGTACATTAAATAAAACCAGTTTCCAGGTTTCAAATAAGTTTTTTGAGCTAATTCTGTGATTTTGAGGTGTTCTAAGGAAAATAATAATAATAATAATAATAATGGTGAAATTTGTTTCGAAAAGCCACAATGTTGTGTCATGATTTTCCGACCAGAAATTGTGTGGCTGATGCGTCGTTAGCCATTTTTTTTTTAAATTTTTAACAAAGAGCTAACCCACATACGTCCAAACCGAGCATGCGTGAGCCTGGTTCTCCAAGCCCAAGGTGCAGGCCTAACTTTATTTTTTATTTTAGTCATTTTCTTATCATTTGATTTTATGCTTAGATTTTTAAAAAACTCATAATTGTTTTTAAATTTTTTGCAACCTAGTAATAAAAAAAATATTAATGATGTGTTTTCATATTTTAGACTTAACATATATTTTAAATTATATTATCTTATTATTTAAAATTTACCCCTTTAATTTTTTTTTAATAAAATTTTCATCCAAATAATTTTTTCTTTTTCCTTTTTTTTTAATCAAATTTACTTTATTTATAGGTATAATTTATTTTTCTTTATCTTTGAATTTTGAAATAAATTTTTATGACCATGATTATTTTCTTTTATTAAAAAATATAATTTATACGATAAATTTTTATAATTTTTAAATAATATTATCTTGATTTTAAAAATAAATATTTGATATAAAGGTCAGAAGAGTGCTGTACAATTTTTTTCTCAAGTTTTGAAAAACATAATTTTAAAAATAATTAATTAATAATTAAAAGTAAAAAAAAGGGAAAGTGATTGTTATACGTGCAAGATCTATATACCAAGACCAAACATCTATGGACTAGACACAAAAATATCTGTTAAGGAAAAAAATAAATTACACATGCTTTATTTACTTTTTTTTTATATATATAATTAATATTTATTAAAATCAATTTTATGAGGGTTGCATATACCCACAAAACATTAAACATTTACTGTCTTTTTTTTTTTTTTTTATAAATTTTTTTAGATATTTTGAAATCAATTTTCCTCAAATAAAATAATTATGCATCATATCTAGTGAAATAGTATAATGGCCCAATATCTTAATTCTACATTGAACAATGCCTTCACCCTTGGCTATGCATGTGACGTGTACCAATTTCCACTGTTTCTGGTGAAATTGATAATGAAAATAATATAATAGTCTAATGGTTATGCAGTATTAAGGTGCCAATGGACCAATTGATGACTTATGATAACAGTGCTTGCAACAGTGGCAAATCAAAAGCAATTAGTGGTTCTATGCATATCTTTATGGATGTTTACTTGGATTAAGATCATTTCAGGATAAGAGCAGTGGCTTTTGAAATTGGTGAATGGAGTTGGAAAAATAATTTCATTAAGGTATATGGGACTAAGGTTGATTCAAGAAAGAAAAACATGGTTGGTGAATGTGACGAAAAAAGAGGTTCTTGGTAAGAGCAATTTCTTCAATTATCAAATGAAAATGATGTTGACAGCACTAACTGATAAATTTAATTTCACTTAATCTGTATGATTAGAACTCATGATTCAATTTCAGCCTACATATCTCAGTTATAAATCTCACCAGAGCTCGGGTCGATGCTCATCAACAGCCAAGCCTCCTTTTAACTTCTCTCTTCTGTAGCTTTTGAAACTCCCAATTATTTGAAAACGAGGGCAAATTCCGGCATAGCAAAGTTCATCACAGAAGCTGCACCACCACAATATATTAGTGTCACGGTGCAAACGCTTTGCTTGGAGAGAGAATAAAGGACAAATGGAGGAGCATGCAGCTGTATGCCACTGTTGTTCAGTCAATAATGAAGCGGCTATTGCCATCTCCAGAAGTTGAACTTCTGTGAGGCCTGTGATTTTATTACTGACATCTGTAGGTAGTATGATGATCCTTTTCTTAGTTTTCCACATTCTCTTATCATTATGGTGCAAAATAGTGTTTATAGATGTTCTATGTTTCAGAAAACTTCAACTAACCTGTGTGCACCAAAGTTAGAATACACATTGGTGCAAAATAGCGTTTGCAGATCTATGTTTCAGAAAATTTCAACTAACCTGTGTGCACCAAAGGTAGAGTAGACATTGGAGACAGTGCTGCCTTCTTGATTGATGAGGCTATTCCTACCAAGATTTTCACTCTCCTTTGTTCACTCTAGAAAATTTGGGACCAACCTTGCGCTTCCTTGATGTTTCTGATTCTACTGTTGCTTTCAGCTTCTCTAGTGCTGCACATAAAAAGAAGCGAAAAGTTCAGTGTTCTTTATACAATGTCTGAAGACATTCTATTAAAAGTCAGAATTTTCAAGGTTTCCTCATCCAGTGAAGATACAACCAGCTTTTTAACATGATCTCATCACAATTATCTTGTTCATCACATATCATCTTTATAACCTCTTCCTTTCTAAGGTACTAGTGAGCAGCAATTGCAGAAAAAGCAAAGAAGACCACGCCCAAATCATCATGACTGCCCAGTATCTTTGATAATCAAATTAAGAGCTATTGGGGCCAACAAAGAAAAATGATCTAGAGAGAGGAGTTTTAAAATTATCAACTCAAAGTTGATTGAATCTGTAGTCTAAATGCAAGATTTGCAAATGAGACAAATTGCAACAATAAGCAAATCCTGAATAAAAACATACCACTGCAATCCAGGTATATGGTAAGCCAATCACGAGTTTATAGATAGGAAAGAAGAGCCAAGAAATTACCTGGTAAATAAAAGGAGTGAAGTGACTCAACAGAATTGGAAGGGATAGAGTAATCAGGACAAGAATCATTATCAGCTTTCTGTAGCAGTTTCTTGAAACGTTTTACCTGAAACAAGTTAATAGTAGACTATTTGCATGTCACAGAGAAACATTAGAAGTACAGAAGGATTATCATGACATAGAATATTTTTATTTTTATTTTTTGTCTTTTTGTCCCTTTTGATGTATATTGTACCTTCAGTTTCCAGGTTTTGGAAGAAAAAATAAAGAAGAAACTAGAGTGCAGAATCCCGGTATGGGCATTTAATCAAGGTTGGGCTGAAAATAGCATGAGTGTTATATGATCAGATTGCTATTTCAATCTGCAGCAGAACATGTTAAAAATGGGCCATCGATAAAAATAGAGCAGACTGGAATAATAAATTTGTTTTGAGCAGAGTCCACACAAAAAATTGCACTAATTTTCGTTAGATGGTCTGTGCCAAATCAAATGAATACATTCAGTTTTCATATGATCTGAGACTGGCCATGGTTCAGCCAGAATTTAGCTCACCCCTATGTATAAGTTTAGTATTTTTAATTATATTACATATATAGCAAATTCAGCTTCTTGGACCATGCTTAGAGTATAATATAGTTACAACTACAAGCTTCGAGCAAAAAGCATAACTTTTTTCTTTCAATAAATGTTTTCACATCAATAACCCAAAATAAAAAATCTTATCCCATACATTAACGTGAATACATACCTCATGTTTACGCAACAATGTGATGCAACGCCCAGTCTGGCCTGCTCTTGCTGTCCGACCCGCCCGATGAACGTATGTCTTTACATATGCAGGCATATCATAATTAATGACATTTCTGACTCCTTCAACATCCATTCCACGAGTCATTGCATCAGAGGAAACAAGTACTTGTATCTCCCCTTCCCGGAAGGCCTTTAGGGTCTTGCTGCAGCATTGAATTTAATTTTGTTACATTCTAGTTTGTTAAATAAGTTAGATACATGCCATACGACTTCTAGTAAAGTAAATTACATCCCTTGGCATCATCTTAACAAATAAAAGAACAACAACGAAACCTTAATCCCAAACTAGATGGGGTCAGCTTTACTGATTCTTTTGTGCCATTCTGCTCAATCATGCATCAAATCTGCCTCAATATCAAGAGATCTTAAATCCTTTGATTCCATCCACACTTGTTTAGGTCTCCCTCTTCTCCCTTTCTCCCATACTGCTAACAATTTATTACTTCTCCAAAACAGGGCCTCTGGTGTCCTACCTACATAGGGCCAAACCATTGGAGGTGGCCTTCTCTCAAGGATAGAAGGTTCAACTACTACCATCGTCATCTTAAAAAATGTAGCATTTAAATGTTATTCACCTGAAGTTTCTTTAAACCCCAAGAACAAAGAAATCAAGAAAAATGAAGGGGATGTTCTATTTTAAAAAGATTCACCTAAAGTTTATCTTAGGTCATCCCATGTTATATTATATATGAAAGCCTGTTCACCAATCCCATGCATTCACAACGCCCAAAATAAAGGAAAAGTGTTCTACCTCTCCCTAGTACCCAGTCAATAAAGTGAATTCCACCTGATATTACCTTCTCACGGATTGACGTTGAAGACCTGAATACTCCTTGATCTTGACTTTCAAATCACCAAAAAAGTTCAGTAAGGTGCAAAGTCGATGAGTTGACTCCACAGATGATGTGAAAACAATACATTTCTCCCCTCCTAAATGTTGTAGAACCGCAACCAAGTAAAGAGGTTTCAACTTGGACTCGCAGATCTGTGTGAAAGATATAGAAATCTCATTTTATTAGAGAAAACTCAATTAATTTCATAGGGAGAGCTAAGCTCCCTTTATCATTTTCATGCCTCAAGAAAGGCATCTAGATGAATGGAGCCAAATAACGAATCAAGTTAATTTAATAATTTAATAAGCAGCATCCAAATTCAGTTGTCGAATTTTGAGTTATTAACAATATAAATGTAAATTTAAACCCTATATGAAGAACTCCAAAAGAAGGCCTACGTATATCATATAAATATCATACTCAATCAGTCCCATAATGAATGTCATGTTCAAAAAACTGAAAATGTTTCTATACATTAAAATTTTTTACTCGACCTATATAGATATTTTTTTCCTGCAAGTTGAACATAATCTTTCATTTTTCCCCAATTTTAAAAAATAACTTGTAATTTTTATCATTTTTCAAACCTAACACTCATTTTGGGAAAAGAGAGTATGAAAATACGGAATGCAGTTACATCTTACCACATCTAAACAGCAGAGATTGACACAAAATCTTTAAATTTTCAAAATTCTTTCCTTTTTGAACATTCCTAAGAGCATTCTGGAAAATAAATTCAGAACTTCTACCCTACTATTCTCCCCTGCTAAAAATGAACTCTCTACGATCATGGAGAAAAAGCATATAAATTAACATGTAAAATACAAAAAGAGCAAATCTGCCTAAACCAAGATAGCATTATTGTACTAAGCAAGACGTACAGAGTAAAATCAAATCAAAATTTGTTTAATGTATCTTTTCATATTCACAATTGAAACTTTGATCAAGGAATGAACTGAGGTTGGATCAATAGCCATAAAGAGTTTAAAACTGATCCATGAACCACAGTTCCCAAGCACAGGCTTGTGCTATATTAGTGATAGCATACCAGTTTGTAGGATTCTAATTTTTCGGGGAGCTGATAACGTCTTTTTCCAGTTGTCAAGAATAAAGGGTGATGCAGATCAAGTTGAGCAAGCTTGCTTGGATCTTGGGTTAATGTGGCAGATAAAACCATCTTCACAAGCCTAGGGTAAGATTTACCCTTAAAACCCCTTTCAATGCCACTGCAAAATATTTCAAATAACAATCACATGCAAGGCTGAATGTATTAAAGGATAAAATTTAATCTTTCCTGTACAATAGTAACATGGATGAAGATTTTGTATATCAAATCAAAGAACACTGGTAGTGTTCCATTAACCCCAACAAACATTGTGGGCATGAATTCACACATCACAAATAAAATATCAGTTTGCCTATCAGCAGCATAAGTATGAATGAATGATTGATTCTCTTGGCCAGAAACATATGCAGTGATATAATACCAATGCATGGGCTAATGCATGAAAATGAGCTTGCTACTGAACCAAGATAAATTAAATAGCAGGTATTGTGGAGGGAAATAAACAGACACAGAACTCACCATCTCCTTAGGGTTTTCAAGGAACCAAATGCATAAGGAACAAAACTATCAGCAACAGGCATGAGGCTGTCATCACAAGTGCTGGTCAGTTTGAGCACAGTCGGAAGCCAAGATTGGTATGCTTCCCTGAGCAAGCGGTCTGTTTCATCAACAACCTAAAATAATAGTTTGCTTTATCAGCATAACTTTAGCAAACAAAAAATGATATGGAAATGAAAATATGTTAAGAGAGCGCCCAGTGGCCTGAGCATTCATCCAACCAAAATCCATAATTTTACTATCTGAATTTGTTTTTCCAGACAAGTGGTCCGAGAACCAATCATGTTGAAGAAACACAATAGAAGAGGAAAAGAAAAAAGTGGAGTTCGGTATCCACCAAGATGGCTGCTGGCCATCAATGGGATGCAGATAGCATTGAAAACATATTAAAATTTATACCTACAATATGTTGGCATCATAGAAACTAATTTGGAGTTGTTCATCTGGATTTATTTTGTCCTATATGTTCACATTTAATTAATTATACAGAACTGAAATATTTATTAGCATGGAAAACCAGTAGCTAGCAGCTAGAGTCTTCATGTTAGAATGAACTGTCCAGACAAAGTTAAAACAAATACATCCGAAAATCAATTTATAATAAATCTTAACCAGATTAATAGCATTTAAAAATAAAAGTAACAGTCATCTATATGCTACAAGAGGTCAGAAAGGATTTAATCCCACATAACTTTCACGCAAGTACAACAAATAGTAAAAGTGGCATATGTAAGTGGAAGTATCACAATTTGGTGCTTACTAGATATCGGAGGTGCTCGAGTGTAAATCCCTTGGTGGTATTGATATGGTCCATGAGCCTTCCTGGCGTTGCCACTAATATATCCACTGAACTCTGTAACTCTTGCAAAACTTCTTCAGGGTCATAACAAATCCCTGCCTCATGCTCAGGTCTCTTAATAAGCTCTGAAATTTCATCAGCAATTGAAGATTGGCCCACAGCTAAACCAACAGATAAGCCCACAGCAGGTGCAATAGCAGCAAAAACTTGTTTAACCTGCAAGGCTAAATCACGAGTGGGCAAAACGACCAAAGCACGGAGACATTTGACAGCACGAGTTGAAAGCATTTGCACAATTGGCAAAGCATAAGCTAAAGTTTTCCCACTTCCTGTTGGTGAATTTATGCAAAGATCTCTCTCAAAAGCACCTGGTCCAATAGTCTCTTGCCAAACCGCAATTTGAACTGGAAAAAGTGTCTCGAAACCCATATTCTGCAAACCCATCTTCAACCTGAAGTGAATGAACGAAGATTTCATATAAAAATAAAACGAACTCCCAAAAAAAAAAAAAAAAAAAAGATATACCTGGGGTCAAGGAAAGGTATGATATCAAGTGGGCATTCTTCAAATTGGCTTACATCAACTGGGCTTCTCATCCATGGCAACAATGGTACATTCTTATTCTGTTTTGCTATTGTTGATTCCTCCATTCTCTCTCTGTCTCTATTTCTCCCAAATTTGCTGATACTGTAGGTGAGTGGAGACGATGCCCCAGAAAAGCTAAATAAAAATCAAACACAATTTCAAAACCCTAATTTTTATTGAACAAAAGAGGAGAAGAAAGAAAAACAGTGCGCCTAGGGTAATGGGTTTAGCGGCTTGATGAGATTTTTCGTTTTTTTTTCTTTTGAATTTTGACTTTTGTATAAACATATAAAATGAACCCAATTGTATTGGTATTATCAACTTTTTCCTTTCAATTTCAGAAATATAATGAAGTCTTTTCATTCATATTTATTTGGCCTTAGATTCCTTCCAAAATGTAATTATTTTATAATAACGACATAGTTTGTTTTAGGAAACTTACTATTTCTGTTGCAGAGTGATAAGGCATTAGCAACACTAATAAGATGTTAGTGAAAACATGCATAAGATATTTACCTTTTCTTCTCTTCCTCCTCAACAGCAATTTTGGTAGAAGCAATACTTGGACTTCTTGACCTAGGTAATGGAGACAATGATTCACTCCTACTTTTAGTTCTATGTCTTCTACACCGCCTATAAGGCGTTGGAGATTGTCTTTTATGCCTCCTATAACTCGGCAAACGACTTCTCCGATGGCGGCGAGCAGGGGGGAATCAGAATCACTTCTTCTCCTGCACAAAAAGGATTCACAACTTAACAACATCAAATCAAAACCTTTTGGAGCAATCAAAAACCCACTAACGGGATCAATTCACCTCCATATTGCACCAAATTGTACTGTAAGTTTGGATTTAAGGACTACAAAATAAAAAATATTGCCATTACAAGAATTGACAGCAAATTACGTCCAAGCAACAAGCTTTATCTTCTTCTTAATTCAGGGTCTGTTTTGTTAGATTATCAGTTATTCCAACCAAGAACACATGCAAACACACACAGCAAATGACATAAATATTCATAGAAGGAACGCAGCAAATGACATTTTCTCTTTTCAAAATAACAAAATCTAGCTAATTATATTTCTGTCAAAGTTCAATTTTTTACTGCAAAAACAAAGGAATCAGAGGAAATCTTACTGTTTGCATGGCCGTGGGAACTGCCGAACTGGGCTGGCAACTGGGATGCGACCTGTGGCTGTGGGTGGAGGAGAAGGAGGAGGAAGAAGGCCGTGGGAACTGAGCTGAGGCCTGAGGAGGACTGGAGTCTGGAGGAGGAGGAGTACGGATGACTGGAGTCTGGAGCTAGCTTTTGTTTCTGGTGGCCTGGATTGGGTGGTGGGCAGGGGCTGTGAAGGCTGTCGGTGACTGGGTGTGGCTGACTGGCTGTCAGCTGTGTTTGACGAACGGCGGAACGGGAGGGTTTTTGGTGTTTTGGCCAGATAAGATCATATAGACATTAGGGATTTAGGGGTAACTAAGTTCCTAACTGGTAAGGGACTAAGCATTAGGGACTGTTTGGCAAGTGCAAATTTCGGTTTCCAGTGGAAATCGATTTTTAAAAAAAAACCCGAATGGAACTTAAATAATTTTGATTCAATTCGATTTTTAAAATTTTTTAAATAAAATCAAACCAAAATTGTTGATTCGATTCGATTCGATTTTAATCAAATAGTACTCACCTCTAATTACAAACATAATTTTTTTTTTTGTATTTTCATTTCTTTTTTTGAACAATTGATGATATAAGCATTATTTTTTTTATTTTAATAAAAGAAAAATCTCTAAGATTAAATCTAAAGCTAATAATGGTAAAAAATAGATCAAAATACATATTAAAAATAAGATAAAATAAAGATAAAAATTAATAATTAAACAAAAAATACTAAAAAATAACAGAAAATAAGTGTAACCCAATTTTTGGTTTACGACACCAACCAAGATTACAAACAATTGTTTTAGATTGCCTACATTCATATTCTAAAGTTCGAACCTTTAATAATAATAATAAATAAATTACCAAAGTGAACAATGCCATTTAAACAAACAAATCATACAAATAGAAGTGTGAAGTGTTCTTTTCATATTCCACCATTCTTATATTTCTTATTAAGTCAATTTTATTGTTAAATATATGTTAATTTTTAAAATCTTTTTTTTTTTTTTTAATATTTATAGGTCAACTACCAGAATTTTTTTACATAAATTATACTTGACTATTTTTTTTTCAAAATGTCTTTATAAACCAATTAAATAAAAGGTTCTTATATACAAATCATGTGACTAATTTAAGTAATTTAGCCTGAAAATTTTGCCAAAATATTAGATTAGACACTTATTGTATATTAAAAAAAAAAAAAGGTTCAGCTATACAGACATATTGAAAATCACCCTATAATATAATGACATATGAACCATTAAATCCTTATTTTATTTGTATGGAATTTGGTTTTATGCTAGTGTTTTTTCAAAATTAAATCCGAACTGAAAATTTCAGAACAGCATAGCTGATGACAGTCCAGCAAGCATCTATCGACACTTGGTCGCCTGGAAAATAAATGTTAAATAGATCCTCTGGATCAACTGATCAGACAGAACAGGTAAATGCAAGTTCTTCATGTTCTTCCTTATTTCAACGTTAGTTTTTCTGTCCCAATCACCTACATTGGTTTCGGAGAGTTTTCTAAAATTAATGTCTTCAGAAATTCTGAATTTTCCTTTCCTATTTCCACTGTTAATAGGATGTTACGTGATGGGAACGTCCATTACTACCTAACGTAAACGATTTGTCTGTCTATAATCATTATAATCATCTTTTAATCAGCTAGTGGTTAACACTCTACCAGAAAAATCAAATTTCAGTGGAGTTGGTACCAGTTAATAGATTAGTCTTCACCAAATGATCGCAGCTGTGGTAAGCAGTGACGCTAGGATAAGAGTAAACTGATCACAGCAGTCTATAAGATAAATTCTTGAAACGCAAGCCAAAACAGCTGGAAAAAGGGCAAAATGTCTTGTTCAGGTTGTTCAATTCCGTCAATTTTGTTTTTTCTGTTTCTATGTCCTTCTTCCTCACTCTCGCTTCCACTTCAGGATAGTTTTCTGAACTGTCTCTCAAGAAATCCTGAATCCTCCTTTCCTTTTTCCAGTATCTTGTACACTCCGAAAAACTCTTCATTCTCTACTATTTTACTTCTTCTTCCCAAAATCCCAGGTTCATAATCCCTTTATTACCAAAACCTGAGTTTTTCTTCACTCCATTGCAAGAATCTCACATCCAAGCTGCTGTTATTTGCTCAAAACAGCTTGGAATTCATCTTCGAGTCCTTAGCGGAGGTCATGACTATGAGGGAGTCTCTTATGTCTCCAAAATTGAAACACCTTTCATTGTTATAAGCCTTGCCGAGCTACGGTCCATTAGTGTTGATATTGACGATAATAGCGCATGGGTTCAAGCAGGTGCCACAAATGGTGAACTTTACTATAAAATTGCTGCGCAAAGCAAAACTCATGGCTTCCCAGCTGGTCTTTGCACCACTCTTGGTATTGGTGGGCATGTCACCGGGGGTGCTTATGGCTCTATGATGAGGAAATATGGCCTTGCCGCAGACAATGTCGTCGACGCTCGCATAATAGATGTTCATGGAAGAGTTCTTGACAGAAAAGCTATGGGGGAAGATCTTTTTTGGGCAATTAGAGGGGGTGGAGGAGGCAGCTTTGGAATCATTACTGCCTGGAAAGTAAAATTGGTTCCAGTTCCATCAACTGTGACTGTTTTTCAGATTACGAAGACATTGGAACAAGGTTCTACTAAGCTCCTGTATAGATGGCAAGAAGTTGCTGATAAACTTGATGAGGATCTCTTCATCAGAGTCACCATACAATTGGCTAATACTGCTGTAAAAGGGAAAAGAACTGTATCAACCACTTATCATTCCTTGTTTCTTGGTGATGCCAAAAGACTCCTCCAAGTTATGCAAGACAGCTTTACTGAATTGGGTTTAACAAAGCAGGACTGTGTAGAAACAAGCTGGATCAATTCTGTGCTGTTTTTGGCAGGCTACTCCAACAATACAGAACCTGAATTCTTACTTCAACGAAAGAATATATATTGGAACTACTTCAAGGCCAAGTCAGACTTTGCGAAACAACTCATACCTGAAGCCACACTTGAAGTCCTATGTAAAAGGTTACTTGAACAAGGGAATCCTGAAATAGCATTGACTCCTTATGGTGGAATGATGAGCAAAATTTCCGAAAGACAGACTCCTTTTCCTCATAGGAAGGGTAACCTGTTCATGATCCACTACATGAGCATCTGGCCAAGTACTCCTTCAGAGAATGCTGCAGAGCATATAGATTGGGTTCGTAATGTTTATGAGTACATGACACCTTATGTTCAACCCAGAACTTCATATGTCAATTTCAGGGACCTTGATTTGGGGATAAACAAGAAGAGTAACACAAGCTTTGAAGAAGCAAGTACTTGGGCAACGAAGTACTTCAAGGATAACTTCAAGAGATTGGTAAAAGTGAAGACTAAAGTTGATCCTGACAACTTCTTCAGGCATGAGCAGAGCATCCCACCTCTTCCACTTTCCATGAGTAAAACAAATTGAAGAGGATTCCTTGTCTCGATTGGACCAGTGTCCTGATTTCATTTTCTTTTTCCATAGCTTAAAGTTTCCTATGAAGCATGAATGACATAATGCTCATCTTCCGGTAGTTACAAATCAGGCAATTCTGAACATGAATGTTTTGCCAAAATACTTGTCCAATTGCAAATGCAAGTCAACTGACATTAGTATCCTTCATTCCTGTAAAAGATTTAGAGTTTGAGCCTCACCTTTCTAACCAAAAAAGAAAAATTACTTGAGCAGTTGGCAAATTCCTTGGCAAGATGCTAGAAATCTTGGTGTATGAAGTCTACCTTTTTCCTGGCCTGCATGTGTCATTTAAATACACCTTGAAATTTACGCAAGGAAACATTTTTCCTGGCCCTGCATAGACTAATCTGAAGAAAAAATCCTGGAAGGACTGTGTGCGGATTTGGGGATAGGATTGAGGGT